GGACTTCACACAAGACAGCAACTGGTGAAACGCCATTCATGCTAGCTTTTGGACTTGAGGCTACCAATCCAATTGAGGTTAGCCTCCCCACAATAAGAAAGCTCGAGACAAATAAGGAGACACAGACTACCGAACATCTCGACTTACTTAAGGAGGTAAGGAAGCAAGCTTTCCTTAGGACTGCCAGTTACCAAAACAGAACGACGAAACACTTCAACAAGCAGGTCAAGAACAGAAGATTTAGAGCCGGCGATCTTGTCCTAAGGAAAGCAGAAGCCGCCGGGCACCAACCAAGGAAACTTGGGCCAACATGGGAAGGACCCTACAAGGTCATAAGAAAACTTAAAGGGGGAGCTTATAGCCTCAGAGATACATCAGGGAATCCACTCCCAAGGCCATAGAACTCCAACAATTTGAAAATATATTACAAGTGATTAGCTATAGCTATTAATTTTTCCTTTAGGGCTTGCATGCCCGCTTCATGTTTTCTTAGTTTCGTTTTTACTTTTCGGGCTCTAATGCCCAGTTAGCTCATGTTCAAATAAGCTCGGGTATGCAACACCCTTGAACCTTTTAAATAACACAAGAAGTTTTCTTTATGATATTGATCCCCTATTAAATTAGCATAAGGCCGTGCCCCGAGCATGCAGTCAAAAACCTTTTACTAAATTAGCGTAAGGTCGTGCCCCGCGCATGCAGCTAATACTTCTACTAAATTAGCGTAAGGCCGTGCCCCGCGCATGCAGCTAATACTTCTACTAAATTAGCATAAGGCCGTACCCCGCGCATGCAGCTAATACCTTTACTAAAATTGGTGTTTACCAATACTACACAAGACCTCAAGCTAAGGTAGGTCGAGCGTATTAGCTTGAGCGTATTAGCTTGACCTCATCGATCCCAGAATGGTGTGAAACGAATAAATCTTTAGCTCGAGGTCGGGTCATAATACGATATAATTATCCCCGACCTTAAAAGATCCCAGAATGCTTGGCAATGCATAAATCTTAAAATCGAGGTCGGGTCAATATTAATATAGTTGCCCCCAACGCTACCGAACTTGGATGTTACCCTAAACCCTTGATTTGAACAAGAACTAAACACTAGTGCACGATCTTGTTCCCCCAAAGGTACACCATCGAACTTAGATGTTAGGATCTACCCTTGATATGAATTAGAATTAAACACTAGTGCACGATCTAGTTCCCCTAAATGTACATCACTGAACTCAGAAAAAAGACACCCGAAATACTCTACACGCCCAAGCTATAAGTTTAAAGTCTAGGACACATTCCCTAACAACCGAACTCTAAACTATAATGTAAACTCGAATTCAAAATTACAACACAATATCAACACATGATCTGAATAATAAAACGCATGAACTAATAAAAGACAGAGGCCCAATTCGGGCAATAAACTTGCATATATTAAAAAACCAAAGTACATAAGCCCAGATCGGGCAGACAACATAAGCAAAAGAAAAATTATTACAAAACTCAGGATCGGGGAAGGTCTAATCTAGGTCGATGTGGTCACTACCCCCTCCATTGTCGGGGGTTCCAGCATCGTCATCCTCATCATCCCCATCACCCTCAGAGGAGGATAGCTCGAGGTCCTTAGCGAGCTCGTTCACATTCTTTAGCTCCTCCACTATAGGCCTCAAATTTTCGGGGAGCTTCGTCCTGAGGAACGACCGAGCTAGTCGCAAGCCATAATAGTACGAGCCTGACCCATACTGACCCAGGAGAGTCTTGAACTCATCAGACTTCTTGAAGTCATCAATGGCCTGAGCTCGGGTTTTAGCTTGAACCTTCGCAAGCTCCGCCTCAAAAGAGCTTCGCGAGTGAATGAGCTCGAGCTTCGCTTCCTCTGCTTCGCCCTTTGCAAACTCGACCTCGTCCTCTGCCTTCCTGAGGTCCACCTTGGCCGCCTCCAGGGCCTTTTCCAGCTCTTTTGCCTCTTGAACGCAACCTCGCTCTTGACTTCGAGCTCGGCTATGCGATCTGAAGAATTCAAACCCTTGAGCCCAAGACCTCGAGCAACACTTAGTGTCTGCAAAAACAAGTATAAAGCTCGACGTGAGTACAAATTACGAAATTGATCAGGGGTACACGAGCATTCATATTAAAAACGTACCTTCAGTGTAAGGAGCTCTAGAGTCCGAACTCCCTCGTTTATATCGACCTCCTTCTCATATTTATCAACTATGCCCTGAATAAGAGCACATTCGGCGTACTCCTCGAGCGACTTCGTGGGCATATGGTCGTCATCATCAGCCAAGAGGTCCGACCCGTAACAAGGGGTTCGAGCTCGGACTTGTGGTTGAGGGGTTGGCTGCTTCGGAGGGGTCGGGTTTTGTGAACTCTGCCCCAAATCCACCATGGTTGGACGGGCGGCCTCCCGTGCCCGCTTCTTCCCTTTAGACGAAGCCGTTGTCGAGGCTTTTGACTTCGGGCCCTTGGCCTTTTTATAAACGTTCTCCAAGAGGGCTGATGGATCGAAAGACATCTCGAATTCTACAAACAAAAATGTAAAGGCATTAGCTCGAATTATAGGTCGATGATTATCCATGAAATATCAAATAATGCATAAAAAGAAAGATTGTACCCTCGAGGCCTTTCACGTTAGCAAGGTCGAGGGTGTCGTCTTCAAGCAAGAAATTGATCTTGTCTGCAAGGGGGTCGTGATTCACTAACCTCAACCTATCTCTCTCTAAAACCTCAAAATAGGCCTGACCTTCGTTAAACCTATCTTTGTCAGGGATTTCCCACCTCGGGCTAAATGGATGATCGAGGTCTTGAGGTTTCACAAAAAAGAAACGCTCCTTCCAACCTCTAAGTGAGCTCGGGGTATCAGGAGTTCTAAACCCCCCCCTTTGTTGATAAATAAACAAAACAATTATACCCCGGGGAAAACTTCATATCAAACACCATTCGAAGTAGGTCGACCCTAGGCTTAACCTCGAGACATCTACATAATATGAAGAAATACACTAATAACCTCCAACCGTTCGGGGCTAGTTGACCCGGACATAGGAAGAATGAGGTCAGAAAATGAATGAAAAACGGGCGAAGAGGCCACCTAAGCCCGACCTTAAGAGCATCCCTAAAAAAGGTCATCTCCCCCTCTCGAGCCCCTAACACGGTCTCAGTTGGCCCTGGGGTTCTAATATCACAAATTGGCATAACCCCGAACTCTCTAGCTATTTTAATAATTACATGTTCTTTATACTTAGTCGGTTCCTTGGGGTAGGTTAGGACGTCGCTATGGGAGTTAATGGGGATAGCCATAGGTATAATGGACGTATTTACATCTTCAGGCCTATCACTATGGTTCGAGTCCCTGGGAGCCTGACTACTGTCACTACTACTCGACCCTGTGCTACCACTACTCGACATTATGCTATAATCAAATAAAACAACTTAAGGGCTCGAACTCTTACCTCTGTGGATAGTCGCTCACCAACCGTACTAATCCCCGAACTCGAGCTCGATTTCCTGGGAGTTGAGAGTTAAAAGTGAAAAAATGAGAGTGAAAATTTGATATTTATAAGAGATTGAGGAATACGAACGGTCATGCAATCTCACCCCTTGGACCAAGACACGTGGCGAGAATCTAAGGTCGTGCTCTGACATTACACGTGGCGGCCATCTGAGATCGTTCACTGACATCCCATCCAATACTCGACACGTGGAGAAACATCTGGACGTTCGTTCCTCTACATCTTCACTCGTAGACCAAAATGAAACGGCCTCTACGACCTCGATGCACGGGGGCCAGTGATTATTCCAGATTTCGTCAGTATCTAACCCCAACCACTTGAGCCCGACCACAACCTACAACCCCGACCTTATCATCATCTAAAAACACCAAAACAAGCTCGGGTGTTTGAGGTCGAGGTATGTGTGCTGACTCGACAACTTTCATATGTGACCTATGGAAGCACTAATCCTACCTTGAAAACAATCCCTACCTTCTTAGACTCCTTCTTTGACTCAAATAGTGATTTGAATACGAGGTGAAACACCAACTCCTTTTCCTACGAGGAGAAGGATTGTGGCAGAATCAGTCTTCCTAGGACTCAACCACTAACACCTATAAATACACAACCTGTGCTCATTTCAAAGGTACGTTCTTCATTATTATCCTCAGTTTATAGCCTTACGCATAAAATTCCCTGTCTGACTTAAGCATCGGAAGGGCGACGAGCACACACCTCGTTGCCTTTGTTTCAGGTACTGGAAGGCGCTGTTCGTGTTCCATCCCAGTCATCGAGCTCGAGATTTTCAGGTGATATTTTTTGGTAGCATCAAGTACCATAGTTTGAAATGATTTAACGTTGTATAAGTTTACAGTCAAGGACCCCATTCTTTACTGACGATATATGATTTTGTATAATATTTGTTATTTAGTACTAATTTTTTAGGAACTTTTATTCCTCGTGTTTTTAATCGATTTGTTGCTGAGGTTCATGTATATCCGGGACTATTGCCAAATCGGACGTGTTAAGATTTTTGTTATTTGTTTAATAAATTATATTTAGTCATTTCTTGAGCACATTTCGTGTTGGATAGTTTGAGGATATTAGACATTGTCTGGCCGAAATTTTCTGGGTAAAAGGATCATTCTTTCGTAATGAATTTCTAGTTCTATGTAAACATTTGACTCTTTGTGTTGACATAGTTATTACATTTTTGAGCTAGATTCGTGATGAGACTTTTTTAAAGAGTAATGCTCTTAAGTAATACTAGTGTTGAATGCCCATCTAGACGACAATTGCATGACATTAAATTATAGATTCACTTAAATGTAATGTCACATGATTTATTTAATTGAATATATCAATTGTGATCATCTATACTGATGCTAAATAACATTATATTTTCTTAAATGAACAATTGATTCACACAAGCACCCGTACAACTGTAGGTGTGCGTGAAAGTTGGGTTTATTAAGATTTGATGTTCCATTTTTAAAAATTAATTTTGTTAGAAGAATACTTTACACCTTGACTTTGTCTTATCATACATCACCGAGTTTGTAAAACTCGAATAACACTAAACACGCACCACGCATGCATGAAGAACTAATATCACAGTTTCCGACTGTGTTTGTAAGAGTTTGTAAATTGACTCGACAGTTTGCATCCCTTAATGAAAACTCATATTACGGGTCATCATGGTCATGAACTCATCAAAATCAATGACACCATCTCCATTAGTGTCCACAGCTCTCACCATCCTCCGGCAATCTCTTAAGCTACAGCTTTCCCCGAGCTTATGCAGTAACTCTTTAACTTCCTCGGCCGTTATTTTCCCATTACTGTCCTTGTCAAATGCACGAAATGCGATCTGCAAATCAGTCTTCTTCACTCCGCCTGCCTTCTTATACGCTTCCATGAACTCGTTAAAATCTATGAATCCATCGCCATCCAAATCTGCGACCTCGAATATCTTCTGCACTTCTTTCGTAATGAAGTCTCTGTTCCCAATGGCTTTTAATATTGTTTTATATTCGTGCGGCGAAATTTTGCCATCTTTGTTGATATCAAATCTGTCGAATACTTGCCTCAGCTCTTCTGAAGTTGGCGATGGAATTGGCAATAAACCGAAGTTTTGTAAGTCTCTTGAAAACATTCTTGAGGGTTTCTGCAAGAATGTTTTCTTTGAGAGGTAGTATTGCATGTCAAGAAAACTCAGTTTTGACATCTTTCTTTGGCTATCTCTAGAGCAAATGCCAATTCAGATTGGGGTTTCGTACACTTCGCCCAACTGAAAATATATAGAAGTAATTTGAGAATCGTGTCAAAATGAAAACGTATAATGTATAGGATGGAAAATCTTATGTCAGTGAGCAAGGAATAAAGATTAAAGTGCAAAAATTGTTTAAAAATTAAAACGATAAGAATATATACTAAGTCCTTGTTGGAGCCCAATCTTTTCATTAAAATGTATTATTAAATAGTGATTTGATATTATTTCAACCATATATTTTTTAATAAAATAATATTACACGTAAATTCAAAACTTTTCTTTATTTTTCAACCATAAATTATCCATCATTACACTATTGTAAAATATATTTTTTAGAAAAAAATGGGGCTCAAACAACCCCTAAATTTGGTTCTATGCACAAGTTAAAATGCATTTACTTGATTGTGTGGATTGTTATTGAACATATAGTTATGAACACGGTAATCTTTATTAATCATAGGCAAAAAATAGTAACATAGCATACTCCTACGAAATAATAAGGCATTGGATATTGTGATGCAAGCTTACAAGACTGCTTGGGTATCTTTCGCATCTATTTTCCTTTTTAGGGGTATATATGGTGGAGTAGAACATAGTATACTACATGATATTTTTATCTTGTTTCCTTCTACGTGGTATTCCTAGGGTTTGACATGTACCCCTATAAATACTATACTCTTTTCACAAGTTTGTTATTATTGAAATATATAATAATTGTGTAGACACAATTATTGTATTTATTTTCTCTATATTAGTCAATTAAGTAAAATATTTCGTTCATCTACCAATTAATTTTTTGTCTTATATCTTGTTGTTTGTTTGCGATCTTATACTTCATATCGTGTCATATATATTATTTCGATCCGTTTTATTTTCCAACAAGTGGTATCAGAGCTATTGTTTGTGATTTGTTCGAGATTTTTGTTATTGATGACAGTCATGAAGTATAAAATTTTGTTCTTGAATCGCAATACAAGATTTTGTTGTGGCAAGTGAAGATACGAGCTGTACTCGCACAGATAGATTTGGATGATGCGTTATTGGGATTTGACAAAATGCCGACAATTTAGATGATAGAGGAGAAACAATAAATGATCGAAAGGCACTTTCACATATCCATTTTCATCTCTTTAACAATATCTTTTTAGGATGTTTTGAAAGATAAAATTGCAGTTGCGTTGTTGTTAAAGTTGGAGCAATTGTACATGACTAAAAGTCTAACAAATAAATTGTATCTGAAGTAGAGGTTACATTCTCATCGCATGGCAGAGGTGGATCGATTTTTGGAAAACATCTGATTGTGTTCAAAGAGATTGTCATTGATTTGGAGATTTTAAAGGTAAAGTATGATGAAGAAAATTTGGTCTTAATTCTTTTGTGTTCACTGCTCGCTTCATTTACTTCGTTTAAAGATACAATCTTGTATAATTGTGATACTATCACCATTCAAGATGCGTATGATGCCTTGTTTTCAAAAGATAAGATGAAGCATTTGGTTGGACTGAAGGCTAGAGAATGATAAGGCCTTGTTGTTCATGGTGATCGGAGAAGGGGTAAGTCGAGATTAAATTTTAGTAATCATGTTTGTTATTATTACAAGAAGACATGATACAAGAAGAGGGATTGCCATAAATTGCAGAACAGAGATAATTTCACTATATATCATGGAAAGCAATTAAATGCTTCAGACGAGTTTAACATAGCTGAGAACTATTTGAGTGATGGAGATGTTTTGATGATTTTTGACATGGAATCCGAATTTGACGAGGAGTGAATTTTGAATATCATATGTGCGTTCTTATGTGTCTCAATCGAAATTTGTTTAAGCATATGAAACGGTGACCCAATATGATATTATGGGTAACAAAGAACCTTATCGGGTAGCTGATATTGGTAGAGTCAGATTAAAGTTGGTAGATGAAACATGTAGAACACTTGATCATGTTAGACATACGCCAAACTTGAAGAAAAATCTCATTTCCTTAAGTACTACTGATTCAAAAGAATACACATTTCCTGAAGGAGGTGGAGTCTTGAGGGTTCGAAAAGATGTTCATATTATATTGGAAGGGTGGAAAAAGTCCCAATTATACATCTTGCAAGGTCGGACGGAATTTTTGAAAAAAGTTTCACAGATTTAGTATCGTGGTGGAGATTTAATTTGGTACTATATCCTCAGGATTTTGTTCGGATCCATATTGAAGAGTACTACTTAGTCGAGTTTAGAGGATATGAGTAATTCCGTTTTGCCACCATTACCTGCGGTTCCTTCGTATTCAGCTGTTAGGAGTAGACTCGCTGATTCGGTTGCACATGCTTTTAGCGTTTTTGAAGGTGTTGAGACTAGCTAAAGGCCTTTCTATGAAAGCATTGTGAGTTGATTATGCTACAGAGTGTGCTTCGACATTATTTAATAATTTCTAATTCTTTGTGAATTTCGGGGAACTCAGTGTTTAGGTTCATGTATCCGTGTTGAATACCATGGAAGAAGAGAAGTGTTTTTGCGTTGAAGAAAGTTTTGTTCTTGTTGAAAAGTTCAAATTTTTCGTTACGGTCGGATTTATTTTTTCAAGTGGAGAAATTTTAGATTTTCAGTCATTGCATTGAAATTTGTGTCAAGGTGGAGATTGACTTTTTTTTTTTTTTTTTTTTACCGAAATTGTGTTGGATTTTTGAGAAAATAATTTTTCCTGTATTCCACATGATTTTTTTTTTCCATCTTTTTGGTATTTCTAGAGTTTTGTATGTATCTCCATAAATACTAGACTACTTTCATAAGTTTTGTATTACTAAAATATAGAATTGTTGTTTTTATGTATAATTATTGTATTTGTTTTTTCCATATTATTCAGTTGTATTTGTTTTTTCCATATTATTGTATTTGTTTTTTCCATATTATTCAGTTGAATAAAATATTTCGTTCTTCTGCCTATTAATTCTTTGTTTTTTATCTTGTTATTTATTTACGATCATATACTTCATATCGTATTATTTATATTACATCGATTCGTTTTATGTCCCAACATTATAAATTGAGATCTTAGCATAAGGGATTATGAACTAGTAATTTAAGAAATGAAAAGAGGTGACCTACAAAGAATAATTCTTATTCTCGTCTTTATAGAGAGATCTCAATGCATTTGCTCGATTCCTCGTCACGATACAAAATTTTATGAATCGTACAATAATAAAGGCTTCATCCAACACCCTTTTTAGATTGGTATTTATTTCTAGAAACAAATTATTGACAAGTAAATAAGAGTGTTTCCAATAATATAAATTTTTAAATAAGAAAGTTTAACAATATTTTGAAGGGTAATTAGCACAAACGTCCTTATTTTTTAATGCTATTATGCAAAACTTCTATACATTTCATTTTTGGTATTTTTTACCTCTATTTTCACCTTCCATTGTAGAAAAGGTCATTTTACATCTTTTTATTCAGAAATTAGAAGGATAATTGCAATTATACCTTAATATTTAAAATTTCTGAATTAATTTTCATCTAATTTCTGAATAAAAAGATGTAAAATAAAAATATACCTTAATATTTAAATTTAAAAAAGAACAAATTGTAATTATACTCCTAAACTTTTTAAAAAATTAAAAATGAGTTCAAATAAATTATTAAAAGGATAATTAGCACAAAACATTCATATATTTCAATATTATTGTGCAAAACGTCAATACATTTCATTTTATTTTTATTTTTTGATATTTTCACCCTTATTTTCACATTACATTGCGAAAATCATCATGTTCATCCATTAAAAGCTATAAAATGACGAATATATCCTCCCGTTTAAATAAAACAAAAAAATAAAAAATAAATTGCAACTATACTTTCAAATTTTAAAAAAAAAAGTACAAATAAATTCCAAATAAAGGTGAAAATGCCAAAAAATTAAAAGTATACAAGTTTTGTACAATAATATTGAAATGTAGAGATGTTTTGTGCTAATTATTTTTTTAATAATTTATTTGGACTCATTTGCATTTTTTTAAAAGTTTGGGAGTATAATTGTAATTTGATCTTTAATTTTTCTTTTCTTTTCTTTTCTTTTTTTATTTAAATATCAGGATATATTTGTCGTTTACATTTTTTTGTTAGAAAATTGGATGAAAATGATCTTTTCACAATGAAATGTGAATATAGGGGTGAAAATGCCAAAAAAAATAAAAATATGTATAGACATTTTGTACAATAATATTGAAAGGTAAGGTCGTTTTGTGCTAATTACCTTTTCAAATTGTATTGTTAATAATGATAGGAATTAAATCGTTTCGGTGTCTTATCAATTTTTTCCCCATAGTAATTGTTTGAAAAATATCTTATCAATTTTTTAATAGGTCGAATTTCAATTTTAACTCTACATTTAATTGAACCCACAATTTCTCTAAACTTTTAACCATAAATTTACATATTGAACAACGTTTGATAAGAAAAATCAAGAACTTTATACTATCATAAGGAACTTTTGCACACTTGAGCCTTGGAGAATTAAGTTTCTTGAAAAATTTTGACCTCTACAGTGAAAATTATTTGCACATAATAAGATGCTAGCAAGTGGCACCTTTCCCGTCATAGTAATTAGAATGCAAATTGTGGATGCAAACTGAAATATGGATTTGGCTTTTGGGTAAGTGCAAGTGTATAAGCAGCTTTCCACCCTGTACTCTTGGAGGCATAACCTGCGATTTACCTCCCTCACGATACTCCAGGGTAGGGGTGGTGGGGGACCCTTAAGGTTAGGGTTTAACATTTTTTTTAGAATGCAAACTGTGGATAAGCATCAGAGTTGACATGAATTCCATAGGGCATGTTGCTATGCATTTAGAGGACAAATAGGCAGAACTGAGGAATCATATTCATCCGTCGCATTCAACACACTCGTTCCTTTAGCTGTGGATCGACCATGCTTTTCGAAATGGAACTCTATTCGTTAATTGTCCAATTTTAAATTCTGCAAAAACTATTTATGAAACTGTTATCGTTAATAAGTTTTTAACTAGGGTTTCCAATATGTTTTTATTAGGTTTCTCACTAAAATATACAGCACTCGATTGTTCCTGCTTTTTCCCTGGATTTTCATTGAAAATTTCGTTGTTTTTCTCCAATGGGACCCACCCTTTTCAGGGTGGGTCAAAAGTTGCGGCGGCTAACGGCCATAAAGTTGCTACAAATTTGAGGAGAATCTCTCTCAGACAGGACTGAAGAAGTGAAGAACTGTTTATGAAACTGTCAACTTTGATAGATTGCTTGAGAAGCCTGACATCATTGTCGCGACCTTCTTCACAACTAATTTCTAGACTTGTCATATTAAGAGCCTGTTTGGGCTCGATTTTTTCATCCAAAAAATTGATTTTTTGACCGTTATTTCACTATTCCAGCTATCATATTTGACTTATTCTCTCACAAGTGGACCCCACTTTTCTTCTAACGGTCAAAAAATCAATTCTCAAAATCACTTCCAAATAGGTTCTAAGGGTGAAATACCATAAATATATGTATCATTTGTTTGTTATCAGTGGACAACAATTGCGCCTGTAGCTCAGTGGATAGAGCGTCTGTTTCCTAAGCAGAAAGTCGTAGGTTCGACCCCTACCTGGCGCGTCTCCGAATTTTTATTTTCAATTTTACAACCCTCAACACAAAAAAAAATAATAATAATAATAAAATAAAATTTCCACGTGGCAACCAAAGAGGCCAGATGCAGTAAAAACTCAGTGATACCGACTGTCGCCCGAGCATTATCCACTACAGCAAAAGATGACCATAAAACCCTAGCGCCCCTCTTCTTTCGCCCATTAAAACCCCTAATTGAATTTCTAAGATTAAAATTAAATCTTCAAAATTTTCATTTCAATTTTGGGCTCTTTTGGCATCCATGAAGGCGTTCGACGTTGGTGGTACCACTCTCTTTCTTGCCCTCTTCTCTGACGTCAACAACTCTAAGTACGCCCTCTTTCTCTCTCTCGGTAAATTTTTGTACAGTACATAGATTAGATACGAGATGTTCGTTTTTTTTTTTTTTTAATAATTACTGCTTGATTAAGAAATATATCTCTCTTTGCTGTGATTTAGTAGTCTATTTCATATAGGTTTATTTGATTTTGTATAGAATTATAGCTATTTTATTAGTACCTTCTTATTACCCTTGCAGCTAAAAAGATTTGTGCTTTTGAAAATGTTTCTTCAAGTGTTTGGTTCTAGAAATCCTGTAAAAATTATCTTCATGTAATTTTATCTTTGGTTTGAGGAGCAAGTAAATTTGTTGGACTTAAAGCCACTGTTCGGCCTTCAGTTATTACCTATTTAGTTTCTCTTTTTTGGTTGAATTCTAAGGATGTAAAACGTTTCAGTTGAAGGAGGAATTAATGTTCAAAAAAACTCACTCTTATTCTGGTTGGTTATTGAAATTTCTAATAGATCTAAGTTTACTAATCCTCTTTTAGGAGTTTGTAGGGTATCATTTCTTTTCTAAATTCTCGATTTTTTGTTAATAGACATCGTTTTTGTTATATTTCTTGAGATATTTGAAGATGTATTGAGAAA